CTAATATGAATAAAAAGGAACTGAAAATTTATGCCCACTAATATGGATGTGAATGCCATTTTTTTTAGACTAGCCAAACCATAGAAACAGCCAAGATATTATTCAGTAGGTGACTGGAAAAGTTTTGAGATTAAGGTTTTACTTCCCCTTTGCCTCTTTTTTAACTATTTTGACTAATTGCACATTTTTTCTTTATGTTAGGCTTGGCCTTAGTTTATGTTACTATAAATACCCGTGACCAAAGAAAGTTCTTGTAAATATTAACTCGTCCATTTTATGTTTCTTGACCATAAAACACACATACATACATATACACTCTCCATTAGTTAAAATAAAGGTTTTATGTAGGATTTGCTTTCTAGTAGTTTAATAACTAGAATTATCAGTGACATATGTTCTGCTTACAGGAAGACACTACTCTATATTTACATCAGTAATGCTAAATTTAAGATGAAGAGATATAAAGAAATAGCTTTGGAAAATGTTTTCAAAGACGTTTTGGAACAGAGAAAAGAAAGACTTTTATATTTATAAAAACCATTTGCCTTTAGGGAGTTTTGTATCAGAGTGTAGAAGATGCAAACTATAGGTTAAAGACAACCGAAATAGAACAAGAATGGACAGTGTCAGATACTTTATCAGAAATTGGACAATGACACCCTGAGTATATAGAGGTGAAATGAAGTGACACTGGTAATGCATAACGGGATATCCTTTTCACAGAATATGCAATTGGAGTTCCCCAGGGTAAATGCAGCACCAGGAAAACACTATATCTGTTTCTTGAAACATTTTTTTTCTCCTTCTAAATACCTAAATAATGCTAAAATAAAGCATTGTGAATTTATTAATTGGTTGATTTGGGGTGATGAAAACACAGTAGTTGGCCTATTAGAATGAAGATTTGTATTTATAAATATTTAGGGTTATATTTACATTTTAAAAACATAATTTTTATTTCCAAATGTAAAGCTTCACGTAGTAAGGTTGAAAACCTCTATATCCCTGGTATACAAAATAGATGGAGTGTTTTGATGACTGTATAGACAAAAGAAAGAAGTATTGAAAATGACACAGGAGATCAAACTGGAAGAAGCATTCACTGAAGGCAAATACTGGGGATTTAGTTTTGTTCACTTCAGACACTGAAGTAACTAAAGACTGATAGGAGATTAAACTTGGATATAAAGAGAGGATGACCTTATTTTTAGCATTTGGTCCTATTGTGCATCTTAATTGTTTCTGTCATCTTGGTAAAGTTCCTTAAGCCCACTGACCCTGTTTATTCTATTAACAAACATGAAGAATAATTACTTACTTGTAGGTTATGACAACAATTAGGTGAGAAGCTTTGTATACACAGATTTTCCATAGCTATTTAAAAATGTTAGTGAGATTTTATATGGAACTACATGGAAATTCACAGAAATGATACATACAAATATTTGCAATTTAATATCAAGGGAACTATGACCCATTTTCAAGTCAATAATTAAATTTCAAATACTGTTGGGTACTAAATATATTAGATCATTTCATCTTCTACCAAGTGTATCATGAAAAAATATATAAGAATGAGACTTTGAGGACAATGATACTATAATACAGCTGGATGAATTTTCAAAGTCTCTAATTTATTTTACTTCAAACAAAATGTAGTGACTGTATCGATATTAACAATTTTATAAGGAAGCAATTTTATATTCTGGTAACAATTTTATTTGATCAAATTATACAAAACAAAATGGTTAGAAGTACTCTCATAAGCACATGAATTTTTGCTCATAGTACAATATTTTCAATAAATCATTGAACATTGCCTTTTATCCTGTTTCTAAGATTCTGTGTTCATCTGTCCTTACTAATTACTATACAATGCTTTTTTGCATCATATATCAAGTAAAGTTAGTTTAAACAAAATTGGAATATAGATCATAGTTCAGCTTTGCTTCAAAGCATATCATTGCATACATTGTATACAACAACTATATATAGTTGGTCAAAATTGCATTGCAATTTAAAAATGTATGCACAAAGATAGATAAATAGACAAATGATACAATGTACAGATATGTAGTTGCATAGAGATTTTAAAATTCCATTTGCTCCTATCAATTTTTTCAATAATCTCTTTTACAATCCAAAATTTAGCTGCTCAAGATTTAAATTATGTATTCCATGAGTTGGAGCTTTGGATTTTAAATTATATTAAATTTTAAGAGATATAATTATTTTTTTATTTCTCTTCAAATGTTGGAATTAAATATACAAATTAATCAAAGATCTAAATGATGAAACAGAAAAATATCTACTGGAAGACATAATATGTAAAACTCTTAAAGACATAGGCAAAGGCAAGGCCTTTCTAAACAGAATTCCAATTACACAAGAAATAATACCAAGAATCAATAAATGAAATCATATTTAAAACCTTCTCCACAGCAAAAGAGACACTTAACAGTATAAAAAAACAACCTACAGAATGTAAATAAAAACTTCCCAGCTATTAACCCTCTTTCTAAGGACTAACATCTGATAAATGAAGAACTCAAAAAAAAATCAGACACCTCAAATAAAAATCCTAATAAAAATGAGGAACTGAAATGAAGAGATAGTTGTCAGAAGGAGAAATACAAATGGCCAATAAATACATAAAAAACTGTTCAACATCTCTATTATAGAAATTTATAAATAAAAAATATTGAAATAAAAATACTTTAAAATGTTTTTTATTTTGCTTTGAAAGGACATATTTTCTAAGTTTGTCTTCAGAAGTAGGGAAGACAGAACCTAAGGGATTTTGTTTTTTTTTGCATGTGGCTGCAACAACAGTCTTTAAACGGCAGAAACCTCAGAGTGTTAAAGCAATTATTATTTTTTCTTTAATTGCTTGTATGCATAGCAATATAATTAAGGATTTTTAGTTTTTCTCCAGTTCCTCTTTATTCCACAATCGCATTCAGAGTAAAGCTTATGTTTCTTTTAGTGGAACATTCATATTAGTACTAAAAATAAATTGTATTAAAAGCATGCATAATTTAAAAGAGGAAGAAAGCAAAAATGTCATTTCTGGAGTTTGGTAAGCTCTTACATTAAAGGGTGAAATTACTTTTTAAATCTGAAAAATTAATTCTCAACACATCCATTGTTATCACTGACTCTTCCTGATTCTGTGCTCGCTTTCCTATTTGTTTTTCGCCAAATTCTCAGTATAAATTATTTTCAAGCATACAAAAGGAGTCAGAGAAACATACACTGAATATTCAAAAAATAAGTTATTACAGTAAAAGACAAACTGCCAAAAACAATGTGATAAATACGTTTGAAGTGAGGGGAAATATATTCAGGCTTTTGGTGGGCATTAAGAAAAATGTTTCTTTTACTGTAATAAATGTATTATTTAAATAATCACCATTTTTTTGAATGCCCCTCATTGATCAATTGTTTGCAAGAGCATCTGCCAAATAAAAACATGATGGTGTGTTCTTAGCCACCTTACTCACCAGATTTGGCTCAGTGCTACTTCTGGATCTTCCTCAAAGTCAGAATTACCACAAAGGGTAAATGTTTTGATTCAGTTTAGGACATTGAGGACAATGCAATGCAGGACAGTTTAACTAAAAATACCTATGAAAAAGGACTTTCAGAACTGCTTAAGAAAGTCCCAAGAATGATGGGATGAGTGTGTTTCAAGTGAGGAGTCTATTTTGAGTGAAATTTATGGCAAAGTCTTTAACTCTAATTTTTTTTAATTCACTGTATTAATAATTCAACCTCATATTTTACATTCTCATTAAAATTTTATAGATACTTTATGTCCTCATTCTTTTATTAGTTGCATATTTTCTCCCACTGAAACATATTGCAAAGTAAATATTAATAAATAGACATTTGATATAAAGGAATATTAGTATTTATTAGTAACCTATTAGATGTTAGAAGTTGCTTATACTTAGGAAACTGGGAATAAAACTGAACACTATAAAATTACCAGGATTGCTATGAAATAATGTGCAAATTGTAACTAGCAAAAGTAATTGTGCATATACAAAACTTTTATATGTATTTATATGCAGTTAACATGTGAGTATAAGACTACACAAATCTATGTGTTTATACACGTAAATTCTGTGTAAAATTATACACACATTAATTATATAAGTACAGGATTTATATGTATAAACACATAGATATGTGTATAATTATACACGTTTATGTGTATAAGCACATAGATATGTATATATGTGTATAACCATACATATGTTTAAGTGCATAAACACTTAGATATCTGTATGTAGGTATATAAGGTTATTTACTCATTTTTTCTGGTCATTTTTACACAGAGTTTGTAAGTTTGTAGAGTTTGTGATAGGTGGAGACTTTTGTGTGTATACCAAAGCACATTCCAGGCCAAAAAATTTATGTGAAAAAGAGAATCTGGTACTTTGAACAGATGTACAGTTTTATTATTGAGATTTAAAATAATAAAGCCAAATAAAAGCAAAATTACCCAGAGTACTATCACCAGCATTTCCAAATTTTAAAATGAAGGGGAAGAGCATTCAAATGTGTCTGAAAGTCTTGTGGTGGTGATTAGCTGCTGAGCGTTAATAACCTCATATTCTGGGGGGCTGAAACACAGGGACTCACTCTCAGCCAGGATATCAGTTCTTACTGCATTTGTTATAAATCTTTTTCTTTTTTCTTTGTCCTAACCAGCTCTACTGTATTAAACATAAAATATCCTCACATTTCAGAAAATAGAATAGTTTAAGCCTCCCCTACTTTCAGTACAAATTCAACATGTGCAATAGGACTTTGCGTTTCAGTTCCTCTTGCTATAATGCAATGGCAAAAATCATGAAAAAAAATTTCAAAGAACAAGTATTTTATAACTTGTAACATAGAACGCCTTCTCTTCTTCCTGAACATATTATGTTCTAAAAGGATTTCTTATCAAACTCTCACCACAGTAAAGAAAAAAAAAAAGCTTCTCTTACCAGAGTGGGATAAAGCTTCAACCTTGCTATAGCGTTTTCAGCAGCTCTTATTTGAAAAGACAGATCCAAAGCAGCTTTGTACACACAACTGATCTGGCTGATCTCCAGTCCCTGCACAAAAAAGCAGTATAATTGGCTCTCAAAAAATTGTTGTAAACATTCATCATGATGGCACTTGCCTGGTGAATCTAGTCACTGTTACCCATGTAGACTTTTTCCAAATAGGCCAGTTGCATTTCTACTTTCAGTTCTGGCTGTTTGGGTTTCTCAGTTCATTCAATGCTGAGATTAATATCTTTAAAGAAAGCATGCATGTGTGAGTGTCAGCTCCACTAGGATGTCATCACCTTTGCATTCAAAAGTGGGTTTAAGAATTTTAAAAATACACAAACATGACTTTAAATCGAGGCAACATTGTTTGATACTTTTACTTAGTCTTTGTATGTCTTGGCTTTTAAAAGTCACCATGTATATGCTAATGAAATACCAGTATTATTAAGTCTCTTTCCTTTGCCATTTGAGAAATGTCAAATGAGGTTTCCGTATCTCTGTTTCACACAGTAACCACATTAATGGTGCCTTCCACATAGGCCAGAGTCTGAGGCCAACTGTGCTGCGTCCCTGAGTCTCATGAAATATTCCACTGTTCCTTTGCCCAAACCTTCAAAGAGGCCCAGACACAATCACATCCTTTAATTTTTATTCGAGTTATGACGGTCTGGGCTTTGTTCTGATTTTTAAACATTCGATTTTTATAGGCACATTAGCTGATTATAACTATGAGTGGCATGCTCTTCTTACCAAGAGAATGTGAACAGTAGAGCAAAAAATAAGACTCCATGAAAAACACAGTTTCAATTTGTACTATTGATCTGAGCAGTATGATGATCTTACAGACTACATAAGGGTATAATCTTTGCTTTTTTCCCCATGTGTATAAAGGCTGGTTAAAAGGACCAGCAAGGCCATCCTTTGAAAACTAGGAATTTGTCTCATGTGTTTTGGTTTTGCATTTTTATATATGTTATGACCCTATAATGATTATATGATTAATTAAAAGTAGAAATTATTGCAATCTGCATCCCCACAAGTAAGTAAACATTTTACTCTTTAGGTGAATACTTGGTGCTGGTCATTTTTTAATGAGATTTGAATCAAAAACCCACTGCCATAAGCACTGAACATTTCTTATTTCTCTTTTAAATACCAGTCTCACTTAAAGATTGATTATAATTCAGTCTCCTGATCTTTCAAACAATCAGCTGATTAAACTTCTTCCTATTTTACTTAGATGGATATGCTATGGGGTAGAAGCTCCATAGACTGCTTTCTAAGGTTGGCATCAGTCGACTGTCATCTCTTGTTGTTAGGTAACATTTGCCTGTAGAGCATTTTCCTCTAATGTTTTCTTATTTAATTATTTTATCAAAACAGTGAACACATTACTGTGTTCCATTTCAGACGTGAGAAAACTAAGGCTCAAATGATGAAAATCTGACAAAAATCTTTACTGTGAGATATGAGATTATTCAATTATGTCCAAAAACTCTTTTGTTGAATGCATCTAACATTTTTTTGTGTGTAATAACCTTTAGTGATTTAAAATATAGATAAACAGTTAGGGAATGAATATAATGTGCTTGTTGTTGTGGTGTGTTGAGGAATCTTAAGATCTCTTTCTAGGCCTTATGATTTTTGATGCGAACTGAAAGGTAAATCTATTAAATAGTCATTAAAATTCAAAAATTACATATTGAGTTTCAATGTGACAGGCATTTTCTTAAATTGCTAAGGCAAATAGCCTCACTATATTTGTGTAATTGTCTTTTTAATGTTTTTTATTAGTGTGTACATAATAATAACACTCACTGTGGGGATTTGGTGCATGTACCTTGCACATCTTGATTCTTTTCATGTCTCCTTTTCTCCCCCTATCCCCTTCTTTATGTAATTTTCAGTGTGGAAATCAAAACAATGAGCTCAAAGTACAAAATTTTTTGGACAATATTAATGGAAAATTGTTGTATTATAAATTGATTAACAGATCAAATCATTTAAAAGTATTACTTTTTATGTTTATTGAAACGTATTTCAATTCACTAAAAGTGTTTCTTTAACACTGAACAGATTTTTGTCTTTTCTCACCCTTGTCAGACTACTGATTTAAAGGTAAAATTTTAAAAAGAAGCCAACTTTGTACACACCTTCAGGGTTTAGTTTTATAATAAAAACTGTTTGAATAATTAGACCTTTATATTCCTGAAGATAAACGTGTAATATTTTACCTTATTTTGCTCAATTCAATTGTTCAGAAGATCAAAGTGGTGAAGGCAATGTAAAATTTAACATTTTAATACTGAGGTTGTACACTGTTTTACTTAACACTTTGGGGGAGTAACTGCCTCTCACATCAACTCAAGACAGTTTTGTTGCTAATGTAGTCAGTTTTTGTAATGGCAGTCAGCAAATAAAGGGATGCTTATTATTCAAACTTGAAAAAAAAGTTTCACTATCAAAATTGAGCTAATCATTTAAAATGAGTCTGAAATTATTAATATTATAAAATAAGATTATAGTTTTATATGTCATTTTATTGTCATTCTTATGTTTCTCTATATAGTCATTATTGATATTTTAATCAAAAATGAGATTTAAAATGGCTGAAATATTACAATATGTTTTTATGTGAAAGTCAATTTTCCACTAGGACTTATTAATGATGTTGTCACCCAAATGATATGTAAAAGAAGAATAAGATAAGGAGAAAATGAACTACTCTAGTTCTCAAGTATAATATTTGATAAACGACTTAAACTGTATTTGTATTCTTGTGATTTAAATTTTTTTTTCCCAATGTTCCCACTGTGTTCATTTGTGCAAGTTAAGTCTACAGCACCATAAATTTTTGATGTTATAACATGGATTTCTTTGAATAATTTTCCATCAATGAGAATATAAATTTGACAAAAGCCAAAACAATGATTAAAGTGAAATTCCAAGCACTCTGTCTCATAATAGCACCTTGAATCTTTCTGTGTAAAAACTCAAAATTCTGATGATTGGTACTACTTCAAAATTCTGATGAAGAATATGAAATGAAAGAATTTTTCTAATTTTTATGGATAGAATTGCCTTAAAGTTTACTGAGCTCTGTATAGGAGCACTCAGTGCTTCAACCACCACATCTACCTACCAAAGAATTTTCTACTTCACTTGTAATCTTTTTCTATTATCCAGGAAACTTTCTCATTTCTGTTCTTGTTTGTATCTGTTTGCCCTCTGAATGAATCACTGTCATCATTATAAAGTCCTGTTTTAATATTTCCATGTATTTAATCATAAAGCCTTCTCATCTGCTCAGTTCTTCCTATAACCATACTTCTTCATTGGAAAATACCACAAATTATCCATTTTCTCACTTTCTAATATCTTATCAAGACAGTCTTACAAAGCAGCACTATCTCTCAATCCATTAATATAGACTGTCTTTTTTAACTGATCTCAAATCTGTTAATTCATTTTTCAAACATTCTCTTCCTTGAGCTTCAGTGATAGCTCTCTTTGAGTAGACAACAACTGGAAGTACAAAATTATAAAATAGTGCTAAAATGAATGAGTGTGCTTTGGAATATACACAAAATAGAATAAAAGAGTCAATATAAAGGAACAGATTATTTCTATACACGACAACACAGGTGAGCCTCAAGTGTAATGTGGGGGTGAGATTCCACACACAAAGATTGTCAACATCTCACATACTTCTATTCAGATGGGCTTCAAGAATGGTTAAAATTAATTTAAGGTGAAAGAGAAATTAACCTACTGATTATCTTTGAGATAAAATAACTTTAATAAATATGAAGAGGCATTTCCCCAAATGATATTTTTTTCCCTGTTAGGGCTATATTTACACAGAAATAAATATTCATTCCAAAATTCACTACATTATTGACTTAAGAGTTTGGATTTTCCTAGATATGTATTATGGTTCAAATAAAACATATATACCTATATATTTATGAATTCATATGTTTAAAAGATACAATAAATTTATTGCAATATATGTTATTTAGAATGGATTATTTTATAGTGAACATTTAACTGAAAATGTGTGTGAAAATATTGCTAAGGCAATGGTTCATTTTCTTCTTATAACAAAAGTAAACCACATGAATAAGTTTAAAATGTTCCAGTAAAGAAATAGTCATTTATGTAAATAGTCATTATAGGAAACCTACTCTGAATGACACTGACATGGTAATAATGCAGTGATTTTCCAAAAAATATCCCATTTATACAACAGATATTATGTGGATTCACTTCACATTCTCTGTTTATAAAACTTCTTGAGATTCTGAATTAGGGAAAAAAATGTTTCTTTTTGTGCCTTAATTAACTTTAATTGCTCAACGAAAAAAAAACATGAGGTAGTATTTTATGTTATCTTCATGCTGTTTCACTCACATGTTTAATACCATTTCCACGTGTTTTATATAATGTGTTGAAAGCTGCTAACAGGGCTTGGAGTTACATCATGTAACTCATCCTGATATAAATGGATGCAATGATCCATGATAGAAAGATTGCAAATATCACAGGCATATAGCAAAGAAACAGGTTTGACTATTGTATCTACAAATTTGAGTAAGTTGTTTACTGTTACTGTCTACATTTATCTGATAAAAGGAGATTGGAATACAATTCTTACTGATTTATTGTGAGGATAGAAAAAGACACTGAATGTGAAGTGGCTAAAATAGACCTTTATACATTGTAAACATAAGCACTATACACAGTTATATAAAAATGTTCTAATCAAACAGTATTGCCATATTATTCCTTAGTAACAGGATGCTTATTTGTCCCTGCAGTGTTTTATATAAAGATAAAATTGAAATATAATGGTGTAAAAATGAATAACAAGAAAGCAACCCTAAGAATAGGTCTTTAGAATAGTGACCTTAGAGCAGGATCACTATTTCAAAAGCATGCCCTTTCTCTGGTTGAGTACTACTTGTCGTATGACTGTCCCCGAGCACGTCTACCTGAGTGGAAAATAGATAAAGGCCTGGAAACACCAGTGTTTCTGCTGTGTTAATAAACTGAAGAGA